ATAGAGACAGAAGCAAAACAAAAAACAACCAAACAAATCCAGCAGAAATTAAGTTCCCAGGAAAACTTTTCAAATAACTAAGCTTGGGAAATCTGCTGGGATAAATCAGGTTTCATTAAGCTTTAAGTTTCTAACACTTGGAAATTAATGTGTATGGGTCTGCCCTTAACAGCTGAAATACTTGTCCCATTAATCATAGTGTCTTTAGGAGATCACAGTTCAGTGGTAATCAAGGTCACCCTTGATTATCACAACGTTAAGGAATTCAGAGTTAAGGAATTTACAGTCCATCTGGGGAATGAGAGCAGCAGGTACTGCACCCAAGAAAGGCAGGGTTGGAAAGCTGCTGCAACTGGTGATGCAGCCTCAAATTAAATTGCAGAGTATGCTTCGAAGCAGAGAACAAACATGCATTTTAAGCTAAAGTCTCAGAAGATCTGGGCCTTCAGTATAATAGACTCTCACATGAAGCTTTTTCTTCATTTAGGGCACAGTGATCCTTTGACGGGAGGCATTTTTACTTCTGAGCAAGATAATTTCCTTGTATATAGATATTTAAAACCCATCCTGATTTTTTCTCACAACTCAGCCCCCTCTCTCAGAGGATCCACCACATTTTTAACACGTTTACGACAAAAAAAAACCTCGGAGACCTAGAAACAACAGCATTCAGGTGAACACCTTAGTGCTTGCGTCAGTTCTAACTGAAGAAACAGACACCCACTGGGCCGTTCCGGCGACAGAACGTGGCTGTTTGTGTTCAGACGACGCAGGGCTCTCAGAAGGAGGCCGGCCCCGCACGAAGAGCCCTCACCCTCCCAACAACAGCCCTCGCTTCACTCCACGACACACCTGAAGCTCCTCAGGGGCTCTCCCGAGGGCTCGCCCAAACACAAGGCAGAAAACAAAACCCGCGCTTCTTCCACAGGGTTTCTAGAAACGCTTCTACCCCGACTTTATCGAGCCATTCAAGCCCCGTACATTGGGATAAAAAAAAACCCTTTTCTTGCAGCCGAACCCCCCGAGCCCCGCTCCGTCCCTCCCCCGCTGCCTGCGCGGCCACGAACCGGCGATAAATCCCACGGAAGCT